CTTAAGTGTCCGGATTAGGTTTTGCCTAGATTAGATTTGGACACTTGGAGATTTCAAACAGTAGCAATTAGGAGGTTCGAGGTTTGGGGATCTCAAATACGCGGAAGCAGAGAAGATTTAGCTCAGTAATCCAAGGATTAACGTTGACTGTGAGAAGATAGCTTAATCCCCGAGTAACGTGGTGTCCACGGGGAATTACGAGAAGATGAACCCATCACGTATTGCCGGTATATACACCCTAACCCTTCATTAAAAGGGCGTAGGATTCGCCGTCTTGAATTCCCTACACAAAGGGGTATTTACGATTCGATTACCGTACACTGGAACCCCTTTTCCTTTGTAAAACTATTTTCGAAACTTTAGTGAACGTAGGTGAAAACTTTTCAAATAATGTTATCCTAAAATTAGATATCAAAGCTTTTTAAAGAGTCCTGTTTTCAAATAATAACATAAGCGCCTATATTTTGTTAAATATTTCGCAGGTGTTTTTGTCGAAGCGTTGCAAATCACTTTTACTCGTTTTAAAAATTCCGAAATGTTTTCTACATTCTCGTCGAATAATGTTTCATTAAAAAGTATTATTTGTACAACTTGTATCTGTTAGTTAAACATCAATATTTACGAATTGATTTCTGCAGTATCTCACTGAAAAATTGATAGAACTATATCGTGTTCTATGCGAGTTCCATTAGCAAGGATGCATTTTTGAGCTCTATTGATTACACTCTTGGTACTCTGTGCAAGTGTTACGCTGGATACTAATGCACACGCTTTATTCGTCTCAGTTTGTAAGAGGTTTAAATCTTTTAAATGTAGTTTCAATTTGACAATACATATTTTATGTGAGAATAAATTATTCCAAGTTAATAATTTTTAATATTAAAATTTTTAAATTCGTTATTTGAAAGTTATAAGTATTCATTACCATTTAGAGATTCGGTATAAAAATAAGAATGTGTTAATAAGTTTGCAACATTTGTTCTCAGTTGTATGGATGTCTTAAATCCTAAATTGTGATACGTAGTTCCATCAGCTTTTATTGGCAATTGGCAACGTGCTAGTAAATTCGATTACAGAATGTTCGATCCATTTCTTTCTGTCTTAACATAACCTTGAAGATCCTAGTCATAACCTTGAAGATCCTGCATTTAAAAAGCTGAAAGTCGCATTGATTTCTCGTAAAATAATGCAAATACAAAAAGTGGACATTATAGCTAGTAAAATATGGTACACCTTTTCCTCTGTTATTACTATGAAATTCTTGTGTACATATGGCAAGTATATTATGTAGCATGCAAATACAACGCGAATCAACTACCAAATTTTTATTTTAATTTTACCTCATGAATTATAAAATACGCCAACTTTTATAAGTCAACATTGAAACGAAAAATAATTTTGGAAATTATAAGTGTTTACCAAGTACACATTTTATTTAATGATCTTCTGCAAGTGATAAAGAAAAAATATATACAATTTGTATACCCTATAGTATCGATAACAAATGGGTTAAATTGATCTGACATAAAACTTATAACATAGTAACTACATCCAGTGTTTCAATATTTTACAACCGCAAACACGCGATGAACAATATGCGACCAATACGCAAACATACGTATGTTTCGTGTGAAAGTGCTCCGCAGACAAAGCGTCATTGAAAAATATCAGATGCGAAAGTGTTAAACCGGCGAGACTGGATAAACAAAGTTGTCCGAGTTGGCGAGCAATTTTCAAGCATTTCATTTGCCGCCATCCCTGAGATTCCATCCCCCTTTAGCGCAATCCTTGCGATATCGAGCGCAACGCCGTAATCGTTTTGCGCAAGTGCGAAAAAGCTACGTCGAAGAGGATGTTGGTCTCGGTACCGGGTAGCGAAGCTCATTTCGAAGAGCGCCGGATACGTGGCGTTTCTGACAGTTTCACCGGCTTTGCCATTGAATTTCGCGTGTCACGTGCGTTCCGACGTCTGTTTCCCGCCAATGGAGCCGAGGTTCGACGATGTGCACCATAAACACACCACCAGAACACCGCATTGCGCAAACGACAGTGGGGATTGAATGAATTATTTAAATCTGTGCCGGGATTTGTATGTTCGTGATAAAAGACCATGTTTCGTGTTCGCCCGACAACCGATCCTTCGTGACACCGAACGTTCTTGATGGATCTATCTTTCACCCTTACATGTTGCCTGTCCACCCACAGACCTGTTTTCTTGATCTACGCTCGTTCTACATTCGCCGGTTTGATGGAACTTCCTTGGCGGGAGAATGGGAAATTAACTAACATGTGGACTATAGAGGACGAAGCAATTAGTGTATTCTGGATGCAATGTTAACTTTATGGATCGAAACAGACGGATGACGACTTCGCTACAGATGTAGCTGGGTGTAGAGCAAATATGTAAATTTGAAAATTTTCAAGACTGAATTTTTTAGGCTTAAATAAGCAAATGTGAAAATTTTCGAATTTAGAATCCTTGAATTTCTGATGATACCCTAATTTTTAAAGTTATGGATCCTGCAAATTTCCGAGTGTTCGAAGTCTTAAATCTCAAAAGCCTTGAATTTCCAAGTCTCCAATTTCCCAAACTTCCAAAACCCTAATCTCGAAATTTTCACGTCTCCAAGTTCACAAATACAATTTCCAAGTTTGAAAATACATCGTCTAAATATCATCTACTGGTCGTCTCACCCATTATTATTTCGTCCAAAAATTTTTTAACCATTGTACAATAAAAATGTCTTCATTATTTACATCACAAATTTAAGTTTTCTATCTTTACCTTCAATAAACCTTGTTAAACCATCTTGTATCGTGTTAAAAATTATTTTATTTTTACTATTAAATTAAAAGAAAAAACGATTATTTCATTCCTAATTAATTTTGCAAAGTCTAATGTCGAAGTTCCGTTATTCTCTCCACTTATTCGCGATATCAACAGGATGCCATTCATATAAACGAGACTACTAGAATTTAATTAAAGAACGCAGAAATTACGTTTCTTCATTTTAATCGCGTTAGACGTATGAAACTCTTTCGAACGATACTTTACTTTCCATTCATTGAAATCAGAAGAGTTTCAGGAGCTCTCGAAAGCAGCTCAACGAATAAACCGGCTATTTTTAATTATCAAAACTCAATTACCACGTCGCGACGTCTGAGTTTATTGCATGACGATTGAATTAGTCAAAGAATTTTGAAAGTGAAATTCACTTTTTATTTTCTGTTATGACATTTTTATTTTTATTTTTTATATTAAGACGCTATACAAAGTTAGGCATTAAAACAAAATAATTTGAGAACAGCAATTTTTTATATCTCTCAAATTATGTTCGATCACAAGTTTGCTACTCGTAAATAACTTTATCTCGCAACTTTTATGCGAACATTATTACATGAAATTGTTACTCGAACAAAATTGTATCTGTAAGAATAAAGTGTTTAGATTTGTAACCTTTGTAAGTGTAACACTGTTACGAACTACATTATAGATTTTCTTATCGTAATTATATTTCAACGGCTATAGATCGCTGCACCTGGAACACGTAGATGTATAACTCTTTAAAAATCAATGGCCTGTATAGCCGTGTACTCGTTTCTAGGAAAATAGATGCCTTTCCGTCTCGAGCAACAATTATTTAACGAATAAAAAGGTCACGTACAAATTTGATTTACTCGCTCTTCGTGAATAACAAGTATACCTAGTTTACTATGGCGGAAAATTAATTTAATAAATAGCTTTTTCGAAGGTGAACAGTGGAAATTTCAAGTACCTCATTATCCTAATGAAACGGTATAAAAATTATTAGTATGTTAACAGTCCATTAGAAATTTAAATAGCTCAAAAAAATATCGACCCACGATAAAAATAACAGATCATGTTGTTATATGATCATGACAATATTATTCTCGTATTGGTAAAATATTATTTACATTTCTCTTAACATTATTATCAATATTGTTATTTTGTTATATGTCACAATTATGATAGTATTTTGACTGCCATTACGATTGAAAAATATTTAGGTAGCTTTAAATGAACGACCTTGTAACATCAAATTGAACCCATGGTACATAGTAGTTAAATTTACAAAACCACCCTGTAACCCAGTTGGTTAAAAATTTGTTCGAAACTCTCTGTTGCAAGGAACAATAAAATCGATGAGCATCAGCAATTTATAAAAGACCTTCGTAATTTTTGGACCAGTCTACACATATCTACATCAACCTGAAAATGTATCTCTTATGTTAAAAATCGACGAGGAATAATTAATGTTGACAAGTGACTCGATGTGGTTAATAAAGTGTAATGGCGTCGTCAATGCCCGAGGGGTCAAGGGGCGCGAAGAAAAGAACAATTTTAACCGGAAGATCTTCCGTGTCGAACGGAAACGGAAAACACGAGACGAGACATCGATCGAGTCAAAACAGTGAAGATGGTCTTGATTCTGGATTGTCTTCGGAAAGTTCGACACCGACGACTGGCTCGCCGGTGCCGCGACAGAAAAAAAGCGCCAGCAACCCCGTTAACATCAACCCCTCGAAATCAGGCATTGCGTCTCTTGTTCCGAGGTAGTTTCTCCTAACGATAATTCGTTTTAGAAGTTGTAACATGTTGTACCTTCGAATCTAATCGCGGTTTACTACCCTCGAGGTACGAAGTTGAAACTCTCCCTTGACGGTGATCTCATTGAAGGAAATATCGACTCGAGTTTGGTTTATTTTTCACTCCTTTCTATAGTAATTTAAGTTTTATAGGAGTTTGTAAAGATTTACAATTTTCAAAGTGTATACTAATTTTCAGAATGCTGTATAAATAATTTTATTATGACAAACATTAAATATTTCTATTGTTTCTATAAATAATACTACTCTGTTGTTCCTATGAATAATACTCTATCATTCCTATAAATAATACTGCACTGTTATTCCTTGAATTGTAAATATAATCTCGTTGTTGTACTGTCATATTTACAATGCAATGTTTTTCGTTTCAGAAACGAATGTGATAAGACAACAAGGGTATGGCGAAACAGATCCGTAACTGATTCACCACGTTCCGTAGACAGCTCGCGAAATCGTCAATTTTCCAGTCCTTTAAGAACATCGAGAAATGTAAGTGATTTTTTCAGTTTTCTGAATTTTTAATCAAAATTATCAACCACTGAAATGAGTCGTGCGCGAATTTTGTTTCATGAACCGATTGTAATACCCGTTACACCTACTACGGTATAAACTGATAAATAAATGGATTTCCACTCTCGTATTTCTCATACAAATTATCGGAGGAATTTCCAGTTCTGTTACTTCTTACAGAATTTCATTATCTCGTTTTTGTAATAATTCACTCGTTATCATTAATGTGGTTTCATTATTAAATTTGTTCTTTTTCGATGAACTCTGTAAATAACTGTGAAAAGATTTATTTGCTAACGGTTACCATCTTATATAGAACATAACTATAGCTGTTTTTATTAAATAAAATATTACTTGAAATACACGATTAATATCGTTACACTTGTATATTTATTCATTTTCGCTAATACGTATTTAATATTCGTATGTGACTTCACATTTCTTTCAAAAAAGTTTCTCGGACTGTCTTTTACGATCTGAACAAGAATTATATCAATATCCATAAGATATTTACACAAGATATTATTTTGCAATGTGACTAAACAAAAGCTTTGAAACTTTCAGTATATACAATTATTTAGCAATTTTATATTATAAAAATCGTTCAAAACGTATCCGAATGGGAAAATGTCCTCAAAGTTTTAAATGCATACAAAATTGCTTTTTCGCGCTAGAGGGCTCTCCGCCTCTCTGAACGCCGTCGGCCACTTTTTGACAATTTTTATTTTTAGGGTTTCGACCCATTTTAAACGAGCTTCATTCTCCGACAAAATGTCGTATCTGACATTTAGCCTATACATTCGTATACGTGAATGAGTGACTGGAACGGAGTTTTATTTTGACATCAGTCATTTTTTTAAATTAAAACATGCAGCGAAGTTGTGTGTATGTGTGCAGCTATATACACAGGGTAATAATATTCACAATTATTTAATCTTAGACGATAATTTAATTTCTAGGTCCAATCACCGAGTCTCGATTCTGGGGATGAAGGAAGTCTCCGTGTTGATCGTAACACGTATCAACACATGTTTCAAGACATTGTTTCCATCAAAACAATGCTTTTGAAACTGAAACGGGTACTTCAGGAGGTACTATAACATTTCTACACATATACATGCTTATGTAAATCAATGTTACAATTTGTTTGTAATTAAATTTATAATTTTATTTATAAAACACGCTCTTATAATTTATATTTGTACGCATACGTGCACATATCAGTGTGCTTTTTCATTAACACGCATTTCTTCTGTTTTGTTCTTTTCATTATTGTCATCCGCCATGATTTTATCTTCAAGTCAGAAGAGAACGGCTTGACGAGGGTACGTTGTATTATTTATGTTGTTTTATTGTATATATTATTTCTTGTCTCTTATATTATACACGTATAACAGTGCTGGAATTAATAATAATAACGCTTTATGATTTATGATGATTAATGTATTACGCGTTGTGTTCACAGACAGAAACTCTCAACCCATTCGATAATTCAATGAAGGTTGGTACTCCTTTTTAATTTAACTCTTTCCACTCGTAATTTGCCATAAATCACCTACTTTCGAGAAACTCTTTCGTTCGGTACTCGGTAATTTCCTGCTTTGTGGGCTTTAGAGGTGGATTTAGTGAAAACTAAAATTATGATGCGTTAGTGACATGCTTCCCGTATTAATTTTTTAGTTTAAAAACTCGGAAATTACTAAATTTACTTGAGCCCCAAATTTTCTAAGTTATAAACTTATTTATGGTCAAACTTACAAGCTTCCAAATGATCAAATTTAGAAAATTAGAAATTTGAAAACTTTCAAAGCAAAAATTTAGAAATGTCGACACTTGTAATTTTGAAGTCTGGAAATCTTCACGTATGCTTACACAGCAGTAGATTTCAATTAATGAGAGTGATTGTGCAGGTCAAATTCGGTGCACATATCGTTAATTAATGTACATTAAATACAGTAAACTGGTTGATTGTTGCACATAGCTTTATGCTATACGATTTTTAACAAGTCATGCTACTTTTAAATCGTGGTGCGTCCGCTTAAAAAACAAAATGCAGCGGATGTGTTTATATAAGGTGGCACTCTGTACAGGAATTTATGTGTCAGGGAATTACGGAGAAATCAATGTACAATGGATAGAACATTTCATGCTAGTTCGTTATAGTCTCATTTTCTCATGCATTAAAAAAACGTTATTTATGTAACAAAAAGTAACGATTATAAATCTGTAAAATTTTAGAATGGTCTCTTCTATAACCTGAACGAAGGGAACACAGCCGATGTTAGTACATCTCCTGGAAGTGGAGGTAACAGTATCGCGGACGAATTGGCTGATTTACGTAGACAGGTTGTCTTTTTACAAGGCCAAGTGGAAGACAGGGATCGAACAATACAAGTATTACAGGTATAAAATTTACAAAAACTTTATGATACTCCATAACAAGTGTACAGAGAACAGAAATCGTTAAAATTATTACAAGATAATTGCTCCATGATGATATATTCAAGTTTTTATTAAAATTATTTTCACAGGCAGCTCATATAATTTTGTGTTCCACAGTTCCAAATATCGAAACTTCAAGGACCTAATGGCGTCGATGGCCAAACATGTGCTTTAGCAAGTAATCACAATAATGTTACCCCAGACACTTGCAACGCTGCTACACAAACAGAAAAGGTACATTTATAATCAACATCCTTGAAACGGAACTATAGATACTGCAGATATTCGTTATATTGCCGCATACAAGATAACAGAAGCAGAAAATTATCAATGTAGAAAGAACTGTTTTGACCAACTAATAACTTTAACCTTCTGTCTTAAATTTCCTCAACTGTATAATACACACTGTTCGTGTAACAATATAACAATTATTATTTATGTATATGCAGTTTATAAATATTGATTCATTTATATTTACTTGAGTACAGCACTTTATTGTACAGTACGAAGTAAGTTATGTGTTAAAACGTTAGTAATCACATTTTAATATATCTTTTAATATTTTAATCATTTTTTTAATTTCGTTTTAAATATTACTGACGTAAATGTAACCAATGTAAATGTTACTGTAATATTCTGTTATAAATTTATTATTAATATTGATGTAAAAAACATGTTGACTGTATTGGTATATTTATATTGTGTATTTATTAGTGCTAATATGGTTTATTTATTGCATGTTTAATTGTGGATACAGGTACGTCCAGTGTCAGCAGGGCCTTCAATCATGCAGCAACCCTCACAGGATGATGTTGTGTGGCCTCTAATGAAGTGAGATATTTTTTCAATTTTTTTTACGTCTACAATCTATTTAAATCTAACTCTACGAAAATAGGAAAGTTCTCTGAACAATTTTCAAAAATATTACCAAAATATTTATTGTACAAAAAATAATTTCGAACTGCGAATTATGTTCTGAATCCTTCGTTACGCAACTATGAACTTAAATTACTTTTTTCAATGAAAATTCTTAAAAGATCTCGTAACCAATTTTCTCAACAAAATTTTATTACAGAAATAGTACTTTATATATTTTACAAAAATACATACAAATAGCTAATTGGGCTAATTTATTTAAATTAATTGACTTCGAAATGTTTATCTACTATTTGAAACCTTAATATTCTAAAAGTTATCTAGAAACGTGTATCACTTATTTATTGCAACAATGACATAACTCAGAATTTACGGCTTTGGAGTCATTCATGCGGAAATAATGATCTCTGCACTTTTTACCGGTAGAAATCTGAAAGTGAGTTTTTAATAATGAGCACACGGAAGCAGTTGTGTACATATGTATAATTTTCTCCAAGTTATAGCGTATGTTATGAAACATTTCAAATCCTTTCTCGAAAATCGTGAAATGTTGTTGCAGCAAACAAGTGGTATTCGCAGTTCGATGAAATGAAATATATTAGCACGAAAAAAATCGGTTGAAACAGATTTGTATTGCTTACGAATATAAGAGATTTTTGAACGCGTATCATTATGAAATTTGTGATAAATAATCTGTTGTTCTTGCTGCTCTGGTCATTACCTTTCCCTGGTGATTCCATGTGAGACAGCTTCCGGTTCGGGAAGGTAGAATCGGTCAGTTTATGTGACTTAATTTTAGGATACTTACTTCTTTCTGCATTAAACGCTTTTATATTGATGCATCTTTTATACGCTAACATCACTTACTTGATCGTTCGATATTAACAATTGCTATTTCTTTTGCATGAGTCTTGCTTCTACTCTTCTGCTGATTTTTCCGAGTTTCAATACGTGTATAAAGTAACTGCAGGTGATATGGAAAACGTGTTTTTGAAATAAATGATTTTTCTTCGAAGTATCAATACGTGCCACAATTTATGAATATTCATATGATCGCTTTGAAATTATTACGAGAAGTTAAAATATAGATCTAAATCAATAATGAAAACTAAATGGAACATCTAAGTAATTTCTGTCTCAGAAATTTTGAAAATTACTTCAACAGTTTTTCAATTTATTTTAGAAGTTTGTAGTATTTTCTTCAAACAGTAATTGTGATGTTAAGAATATTATTCTTATATTACAATTAAAATTACTTAAAATAATTTTGTAAGAATGGAAACGAAATAAATATATTTCCTTTCCAAACAATTTTTTTAACTGACTTAAATTTTAATTAAGAGTGTTCCTCTTTCCATTGTGGATCTTGAAACTTTGACAAAGATCTGAACGTAAACAGAACTTTGTTCTGTTTACAAGAAAATAACTGAGGTGGTTACTAATTCACTTGCCGAGATCTTACGATGTTCAGTATTACATATGCTGTTCCCATATTAAATGCATTTACCCTATACGTGTAATTATCTTAAATCAAATTGTGTGTCATTATCCAGAATTACGGTTTGCGATCGAATCGCGTGGTATTAGATAATAAGTTTAAAATCACGATTTAAAAAATTATTGCGCTAATTGCTTTATAGCCTAAACGTTTTATAGATACATGGATGCAACTATAAATTATTTATTTTTATATTAGCGTTAATCGTTTAAAATTTAGTAATTTATATGTTTATAAAGCGTTTAACGTTATATCTCTTTTACAGGTACTGTAAATAAATTTACATAATAAATGCATTATATATAATTAATGATAAATATAACATTTGAAATACATTTAATATTGTAAAAATATGTATCATTAATTTTTTAGATTGACTGTATACATTTTTTATAAAAAGATGTATATAGAAAAAATGTATTATACTGTGCATTTCAGGCAAACTTTCTTTTATGTTTACATTTAAATAATTATAGATTGATATAATATTTATTGATAAAGTTACTGATATTCGCATAATTTTGATTCGATTGCAAACCCTAGCTAATTTAAATGTATCTAAACTGTATTAATTAAAGTGTAATGTTTTAACAATTCTAAACGCAACATTAATAGTATAAAATGTTTAATTTGTTGACAGAGTATCTTAACTCTTCTATCATGGCATGTAATGTAAATATACGAATATACAATCAGTTGAAAAGTATAATTAAATAGTTTCTTTTTCCTTAAAATATAGTTTTAAGATTATAATAGATTTACAATTAATAATGTTTCATGCTGCCTTTGATAGATACATGGGGTGAGTTTACTATTTGTACGTAGATTCCTTGTAAGAAACCAGATCAGCATCGGTGTTATTAGAACAAAATCACTGTATTGGAGTTTGAGAATTTAGGATATCAGAAATTTAAAAATCTGTAAACTTCTATGCAAAGTTCAAATCTAGTTTTGTAAATTAGATTTGTCATAAAACTTACAAAAGTACAAATCAAAAATATATTAACATCAAATTTTAGAATAATTTAATCATGCGATACAAACTAATTAATAGTACTATGAACAGTTTACAAAGTCTGTTAAATAAAGTTACAGGTATTTAATAATGCAACCTGTTTGTTTTATGTAAAGATGGAGTGATTCCTGGGATCAACGCCGTCCTACATTACTTGGAGAACAGCTTACCAGTAACAGAAGCCCTCGTAAGTCGACCGATCGTATACCACGTACAATAAAATCTCGTCAAGAAGAAACCTCGCATCGTCAGAACGGGCATATTGATAAGTTGCCGACAGATAGTTCTTCTAACGGAAAACTTCTGAAGTTAAAGGAGTCAAAATCTGTTGAATCGAACAGTACGGAACAGCACGAGATAAAAACAGAGGGAAGTCCTACAAAATCATGTATTCCGACAACTAGAAAGCTTGCAACACCAGTTCTCATAACACGATCATCGAGGGCCGTAACTTCAACAGGCCGATCGCACAAAACGTAATCATCTTGCGTACCTAAGTTCAATTTTTTTTTAATTCGACTGTAGATCGTTTTTTCGATGAAAAGTATGCACAGGTAATTCGTTTCATATGCTGCAATTAAGCTATGAAATGCCATTCTAACCTATTCGAATAATTAGAAATTTTGTAGAAATTTTTTTGCAAACATTTTAATTGGTAACACATATTAAAAACATTTGGTAGACGTAAATTGAGAAAACAATGTACAAATCATGTGTTAAGTGTTAAGGACAATTTATAAGTTCCTATTTTTTAAGATTTATATTTCATTTGATTTTCGCATTTCATCTATAAATGAAATCATCATTTTGAATCATCATTATGAATTTACATCATCATGTATGAAATGACATCATTTTGTCATGCTCAAATTGGGTCACTGAGATTTTTTGTGTAATAGACTGGAAGAGTTGTATAAATTCATTTGCAGTTGTAAAGTATTCATTAAGTTCTTGTAACTGATCATATTTCAATTTGTATATTCGTTATGAATGCATTGGGAATACATTGAATAATGTTTGTGATATTGTAAAGAATATCCTCTTATCTTGTTTTCTATAAACTTTATCACTTTCCTTTTTATATCATCAATTATATACATTTGTCACGAATTGATAAAATAATTACATTTTATGTATTCATTGTTTATTGAAGTTCAATTTTTTTTATTTGGAAAGTTATCTAAGTTTAAAATCTTCTTTGCTATTCCATTCGGTTCTTTGCCATATGAATTTAAAACTAAAGTATATTCAAATATATCAAGTACATAAATACCATACTCTATAATCTATCATATATGCTATGCTTGCAATTATACACTATGTGTACATTGTATATAGTGCACAATGCAGTATAATACACTTTATTACATGTATTTTACATAGTGTATATTATGCTATTACAATATATATAATTATGTTGGAAATAATGGCTAAATGAACACTTAGTAGCATGAATAAAGGTATACTTCATTTACTACATGTGTTACAATAGGCAAATGCATTACCAAAAATTCGCGAATTGCTGACCTGAATCATCCATTGCCTCAAATATTTGTAATTAGATATAGCTCAAGTTCTTCACTATCTTCAACAAATTACATGATAGTGTAACATTTGTAGTGTAAAATTTTTAAACTGTACATTATATTCTTTTACAATTGTACTTACTGTAGAGATGCAAGATAGAGGAATAATTAATGCAAAAAACTATGCTATTAAGTATCACAAACATTAATCTTTATTCCAAAATTCTTAATAATACTTTCACTGTATTATTTATTTAATTAACAATGTACAAATTCTCAATGATAAATAATACTTTTTATTTGGCCCTGATTTCAACAATAAAAATGTAATTGTTAAAATCGGCAAGTTTTTGTAATTTTTTTTACAATGTATGTTGTAATTTATTTCACGGCTATTTTATAAGGTTATATTTGGTGCTATTAAATTGTCGCAGTCTATGCTAATGCTTTATTTAGAATCTCCTGAATCATTGAACACAAGGAATAATTATAAAATTACGTTTCAATCGATTATTTTTTTACTATAATTTGTAAAATTATTATGTATCTATTTGCAAAAAAAAAAAATACGACAATAAAGATGATATACGCTGATTGGTAGAAGTAATATTTTTATTTTGCCGCATTACGAATGAATTAATATTATTAAACATTTATAAAAAGATAAAAAGAGTTACTGCATAATTGTTTAATTGATATCAGGAGATACTAAATATATCATATATATGTTGTACATTCTATTCATCATATTTTAATTTGTAAAATGATACAATAATAAAAGCAAATTAAGAATATAAAATAATTTTGTGTATTGCAAAATTTAATAATGGTGAATTTAATAGGTGTCACTTTCATAATAAAACAGGCTGATACATGTAACCAAATAAATTTTTTAATAACAGACTGCTATTTTAGAAAATTTTAGAATACTTTTTAATGACAGAATGCTAATTCAGATATATTTGTTATAATTTAACACTGCATTATAACATTGCTGGAAATATAAAGTAAATGATACACAAAATATGAAGTATACTATAATAAAATCGTACTTAAAAATTGTTTCTCAAAGTTAAAATAGGAAGCAATAGTTTTCCAGTAACAAAGATTATTTTAAGATGATTCAGTATCTACCTCATCATCTCCATATTACCATAATATAATCGAAAAATGAAATATTTCTATAACCAGTATTTCTCAGACAGTTACAGTTCTTTTTTATTTTCATAATCTGTACAATTTGTACTTTTTTGCTACAAAAGTGCAATAAATCTAGGTAAAATATTACAAACTTGTACTTACAAATTCCTACAGTTTCGTTAAAATATTCTATGCTATTTAAATTCTGTGCAATATTGTTCTGTAATTTAATATATAACAAAACAAAAGCAAGTAAAATTAATCTTGTAAACTGATGACATCCTTGCAGTAAGGATAGAAATATTTGAGATCATTCTATTTTATATTTCAATACATTCCATAAAATGTTTTTATTTGTATTCAGCTATATAAAAAATAGTAATAAATCCCTAATAAGACATTACTTTTTAGTATGCACATTTAAATGTATGTATTAATTTATAATACAAGATTTGTTGTAGTGTTGTTTGATGTTTATGAAACTGATCAGTTAATGATATAAAAAGGCTCTAAATAACTGTAAATTTTATTTTACTACAATTAACTTGCAAAGTCAAATTAATTAAAATTTCTTCGAAATTTAACATGTCTTGCTGTTATCCTTCAAAATACAAAGTCATTGTACTCGTAGTTGTTATAAAAATTAATAACTAAAATTGGTAAAAGAACTTTGTTATACACGTGAAGTCTTTTGTATTCAATAAACTAATCATAATTAGACTTTTAATAAAGTACCAAACATAAATCTTTTGTTATAAATAAAATACTGCTGTTCTGTGGAAGTAGCTGTACTATATTCTTTTATAACAGTATATTAAGCATCTTAAAGTAATACTGTTAAAATCATAAGATATCTGTCTTATTTAAAATTTACAAAATAATTGTATAAATAAAAGCTTTCTCTTGTAATTAAATAGAAGCATCGATAAGTTGTAACCTGTAATAAGTCTTATTTTAATTTGTAAATTATATGTATAAATATGTTCTTTCTGTGCTCTTAAATATAGTAGAATGATTACTAAAATTGCTCAGTACATTATTTTTACCTGACTTTACAAATTTATTGTACTGATAATGCTCTTAAATATATATTTTTAAGCTCTTTCTTGAAGTATAATGAATAATTTTATTTAAAAATTATCATTATGTTAATAACTAACATATACGTTAATTTATTAGCATTTAGTAAACCCTTGTTTAAACACATGCCACTTGAACACAGGAACTTGAATTTGTAAAATAGTTATAAGAAATAATAATATAATGAAAGTGAATCGTTATTTCAAAGGTAAACAAAAAGCGCTGAGTGTTAAAAATTTATTTTTCTTGTATATATTTTCCAATTTTTATATCATCATTTGCCAAGGAAGTAATTTTACAATTATCATAAACCTATACCATTTACACATTGTTAATCATTTCATATCAATTAATATGACTTTAACGTATTAATGACATGGATGCAATTTTATAGTAGTAAACTACAAAAGGTTTTCTATGATAGAATATGTACAAAATAATGTCCTTGGCATTATACGCTGTTTAATCATGGAATACATAAAACAATTAATATTTGAAAAACACGCTTTATTCTTTATTTTTTAAATTTCTTTTTTTTTTTAACTATTCAGATTGTATTCATGTCATGAGTAATATGTTCAAAAAATGAGGGACATCATAAGCACTCATCTTTCTACCATGTTCGAGGTCATTACTAACATGTGAATCTTTGTAAAATTTATGTTGAGATAAGTAGTATCAACAAAAATGATAGATTTATGTATATAAAAGAGTTGATATATATAATACTATTTTTACAACTGTTTAATAAATTATTGTTTCTTATGTATATTGATATATTTATGTGATACTAAATTGTCTACAAATACTTTGGTGTTCAAATTACTCTTAGGTACCGTTCTTGTAAAAGTATTTACAGCAGTTACATAAAACATAGAACAAATAAAATTTTCCTCTTCATCTTTTAAGTAGCTTAAGAAAAACAATGCTAACGATATCCCATTAATTACTACCGTACATCTTACAACCGTTGTTGTGTATATTGTGTGAAAGTTTTATTTTGCCATACGGTCTTCTGTGTACAAAGTAATAAATACATTGATAACATAATAGAAATACACTGCCACTATCAAATATGGTAATCAATTGTTGCTTTCAAGAAAAAAGTACCTATGATAAATTAAATTTATCTAAGGCCACTTAAGAATTATAAGTGTAATGGTGTAATCTATACATAAAAACAACAAGATTAATGTTGCAATGTTACATATAGTCCATCCAATAAGAAAGTTTGCTGTCTGATTAATATTTTTGATAAATCACAGTTTATCGTGAGGCAAAATGAAGAAAGCGAAAGAAAGATTTGTTAACAATTATTTATCCAGAAATATGACTGGAGATGTGTGCCTCAATTAATCTTATTACATTCGGGTAAAGTTGAAAGAAATCAACCGCAGATGGGGGAATTCTTCCAATATCTAATAGATTTCTAATTTTGCAAATTAAAGAATTTAAAATTTCTAAGCTTTGAATTTTCAAAATTTGAGATTTGAAGGTTTAAATTCTGAAAAATTGAAATTTTCTAGCTCAGTAAGATTTTATGTTACCCACATATTCTTAATCATAATGAAATCTGAAAAGTATTTTAATGATCATACGTTAACGATGTTAACCGTAAACTTATTTTGAAATTACAGTACATACTTGTCTATTAATATCTGGCACTTTATGGCAAATCAAAATTACATCAGTATTTTAAAATGCTTTTAAAAATTTTGTCTATTTGCATAAAATTCGGTAAATTTATGATGGAAAATTGCAATGTAATGATTCGTTTTAATAACTGCATTATTCAACATTTATTTATTTCAGTATGCATTATCGATTTATTTATGCTAACTGAACTAGCAATCTTCCTTATTTCTAACATAATATGCACAGAAATAGTTTACCACATATTGTCACTGAGTGAAAAAAGTTATAAAACTGAGTCTTTAGTCATTTTACTTTCATACGGGTAAACTCTTCCCATTCACTTTATGTGCTCCTGTTGCTGAGCACGTTGTCATTTTTTGTTATTAATATACTTAAAGTTTTATATGAGTGCGTCATCATCTTTTATAATACCTAAAAGTATATTTTTCATTTATTTCTTTTCTTTATCAGTTTCTGTCATTTCTTTTTTGGCTGAAATTTTATTATCGCATTTTTTATCCTTATCCATTTCTATGAATTCTTTTTTCATTTGAACTTTGTTATCTCCCCATCTCGTGTCACTTTTAAATTTATTTTCAATTTCCGATCCATTCACTTCGCTGACCTTTTCATCCTGTATTTCTACAATCTCCACTTTTTTTGTGTCAGACTGCATCATTTTTGCTGCTATATGATACATATTTTTTACTGCAGTTAGGTACGACAAACATTCAGCCTGTAAAAAAAGAATAAGATATTAATATATTCTGTGATAACACGTTGTTTAAAAACTTACAAAAAATACCTACCGATACTTTCTTGAGCTTTTCATCCGTATTCCTTAACTTATCTTTGTATATTTTTAAGTCTTCGGAAAGAGATTTAATATTATTTGTCTGTTTTGCAGATTTCTCATTTACTATTGAAAGTTCATGCTGTAACTCCATCATACGTTCTTCCGTATCCAACCGAGCTTTTTCTGATCTTTTTAATTGACTAACAAGCTTTTCTACGTCTAATAATGAACCTTTGTACATAACAAAACCTTCCGATACAGATTCTTCAGATTGCTCTGTAAGAGAATCTTCCCTCCGCGCTCTTTTTGACGGTGGTCCACTTCCAACAAATACTGGTAACAATTTCTTATTTCCTAAAAACGATAACAAAGTTAAAAATAGTAACATTATAAATAGGCAACACAATGTGACGATACACTGCATAGTTCCACATTGCGTTACCCCAAATAGAATAATAAGATATTAAACTGTACCAAGTGCTAATGAACGTAATATATCTTCTTCGTTGTCTTCTTTAATAGAGTCACTTCTATCCATATCCTTGTCATCTTTTTTTTCTTCTTTTGGATCATCTTCCCTTGATCTATCTGTTAATTTACGATAATGCAAAGAATCTCTAGTTACAACCTTTTGTACTAATTTACGAACTTGAGCTCTTGATAAATTCAATCCTAAGGTATAAATAAGTTCTTCTATATCTTTGTCAAATATATATCCACAATGTGTTTGATCGAAATAAACGAAAGATAATAAGAGATAAGGATCGTGCGTATATAATTTCGTTTTCCTCTTTCTTCCATCCTTATCTCTATCTCTTCTACCATCTTTCATTGAATCATCATCCTATAAAATACAATTGTCATAACAAATTTAAAAAAAAAAATTAAATAATGCACTATTTAAAAATAATTACATCAGACTCATCTTCCTCATCGTCATCGTCATCATCATTCTTTTCTTTATCTCGATCCCTATCATCTGTTTTACTTTTCGCATCCTTCTCGTCTTTCTTATCTTTACTACCCTCTCTCTTTTTATCATCCTTCCTTTCATCTTTCCTACATCTTTTATCGTCATCCTTCCTTTTATCATCTTTCTTTTCGTCTCTCTTATCATCTTTTTTATCTTTCTTCTTGTCTTCATCTTTTTCCTTAGGTTTCTCCGGAAGACTACATAATGCTCGATAAATACGAAAACCAAAATCTCGCATTAACATTTCATTAAAGAGTTCCGCAAATAACGATACTTCAAAGGAATGTTCCTAAGAAAAAAGAAGATATGAAAATCAATCAAATAAGCTAGAAACCCATAAAAGTTTAGCGAGCATTGACATAGACGATTACTATTTCAATAATTTATACCCGATCAATACCTTTGTATCTTCCGGTCTATAATCTAGAAGTACGCTCAAAGACATAACGGTGCAATCGAACTTTCCACTTTTCGCCATTCTAGAAGGATGTACGATAATATGGGACGACTCCGGTAAAGTATACCGTTTCTCGAGAGCAACCCGTTCGCGTTCACAAAGTTTTCTCCTGTCCTCGTCATGCTATACATCGATATTACAAAAATCAATTTATTAAATGTATGTATTAGATCATTACGTTCGTACTTTAGATATGATAAGAAAGTATGAAAAAATGTTGATATATTTACAAGAAATACTTAAGAAACCTCACATCTTTATTGTCCCTAAACTTTTTGTCCTCCTCTTCTTTTGGCGAAGGTGAAATATCTTTTTCATTCTCTTCAATATCATCGTGGCGTCCTTCTGCTTCAGCTTGTTCTAACGCTACTGCTTTCGTTAATCTTGCAAGCAGTTGCGATTTTAAGCCTTTGCAATTTAAATTACGAGCAGCTAACTCCTGCCGCAATTCGTTCACCTGCATAAAATTAATGGTATAAATACGTACAAACAGTAAGAGCTTCTTATGTAGTTCCTGCCACGATATAGCAAGGTTGTAATTTAAGTTAAACTAATGTAGTCCTGGTCAAAGTTGCAGGTACTTATTTCATTTAAACTCTAATATATAACTTTTATAACCTTGTTACATGGTGACGAAGACTATAATTGTATTAAAACTGACATTCATGGACTTTGGATCCAATTCAGAATAATGAGTAGGGTCCTTTTTCTCGGGTACTGGATCTTCCTGAAAAAAAGAAATTATACATTATGTTACGGAAGTAACGAGCATGGCAAAAAACTACAAAACAGAAGCAGCCCCTATATAACGAAACGAAACCACTCCCTCTTCATTCTTTCATCACTCTATTTTACCACCACTCTCTCGCATTGTAATGATATATACAGTTCTTCATTCACGATGACCTTCAAGTATGACTCAAGTAACTGCTAGATTCTCATAGTGTCCTGGCTCTGGTGTCTGTGTGGTTGATAGGTTATGGATAATATCAATAATGTTGTATACAACAATTATCAAATGAAACTTTTGAATGATTTATCAATGATGGTGAAGGTTTCAGGAAAGAGGGGAATGGCTCAGCTGCGCTCTTCTCCGAGCTAGGCTTGCTTGCTTCTCTTGTTAATGCAATGTGACTGCCAGTGGCTAAGGGAATACTTGCAATACATTACTCATTGATCTTTACATTAATCTTAACGTTTTAACTGGTTGAAAGCACAAGTGTTAGAAACACTGTAGTTTGCAAAGTATGATAATCATAATTTTTAGATTAGTAGGACAATATTATTACGTTCTGATAATAATACGTTGAATCATTAATAATTTAGTCTAATAATAATGTATCATATATACATATGTACAATTATCACTAAAAGCTATATCTTAATTACAACATTATTCATGTTATCAAATTCTCATGATTTTCTAATAAAGAACAACTTCGTATACTGAAATAATGGAAATTAAAATATCAAAATATACAAATTTACTACTTATATAGAAAAACAATAAAACAAACCATTCAAATCAAACCTAACAAAAGAGAGCAAAATATTGAAGAACCAACAGATACTTAAAGATAGGATCAATGAGCAAGTAGAGCCTATATTGAAAATCCAGTTTAGTAATGGGAAAACAGTTTCACGATTATATAATGTAATAAAAAGGTAAAAGTAATATGGGATGATGTTGGCAGTGCCTTTTGATCAGCGACGGCAGCCTCATCAGTGTCATTGGCAGCATCCGAATCGTCGGGGCTAGAGGTGGCACGCAGCAATTTTCGTTCCAGTTGTTTCTTATAGCTGAGTTGTAGACCATCCCATTCCAATTTGGTAGGTACACAGCTCCAAACATCTGGGAGAAATAGTATGACGGTTTCAACGCGAGAGGGCACCACTCGCCCCGACTTGTGGGTCGTTTCTGCACGTCTGTAGTAGAGTTCCAGGAAGCGGTACCTGTGCCGCAAGGAAAAACAATACCCAAACGTCAACTCAGGTTAATGCCGCTTAGCTTTGCCTTATATGCTAAGTGTTCGTTCGCTTGTTCGTAAAGCCCGCGCACTGCATACAAAGCCACACATAGCGCACAATGTAGAGACCGTTTGATAAAGCACAACTGAGTGGGGTCACAACGATCACAGAATGACAGTGATGATTTTTGTTTGCCCCAACTGCTCGTATATCATCATCTGGGTGCTCGATACAGGATCCAGTGCAGCAATCTCCGTCGGTCAGTTGTGTATAGAACAGATACGTACCTCCTCTACAGAGACTGAGCTACAACCTTAGTTATCAAGTCAGAACTCGCATTAGAAGTTACTTTCTCTCACGGATGGTACACCTGCCAGATATTTCTTAATACTATAACATTTTGTCCCGTGTCTTCAACATAATTAAATTACATATCGTCAAAGAATATGTATTATACATTTATACAATATGGAATGTCAAATGGAGCTGACGAGTCCGAAATTTTTAGTTTTTGCATTAATTTCTTTGCTGAAGTAACTTGATAATGTATCGGCGAATAATGGAACAGTAATGGACAGATAAATTAAATAGCATCACGTTGCTCTTTCGGTGAAGTGCTTTAAAACTGCATTCGAAACAAAAATGAAGTGAAATATCAATATTTGAAGAATCGTACCACTGAGTGCAGCTGGAGAGATCTATCCCTGTAAGCGCTTTACAAGTCCTCACTGCTGTCCTGATTAAAACCGATGGATCCTTTTCAGGATTAGGACCATCCAATGAAGGACTCCATGGCCCACCAATTGCCATTGTTTCATTTTTACCTCGTAAGCCTACCAAGAAATTTATTAAACGTGTAGGGTGTACATAATCGCGATCTGGATCTCTATCCTCGGATACACCGCAACACCGTTTATATATTTCTTCCATGGCAGGCATAGATATTAGCATAACCTACAAAACAACATATACAAACTCTTAAAAGACAAAAATGATAAAGTATTTTTTACAGTACTCATTTTAAACTGTCTTGTAATTAATAATTGTGAATAACAATATAACAGACCTTCGCAGAGAAAAGATAATCAGCATCCGAAGGCTCTAACACTGCTGTATTTTCGGTACAAGGATCAATATCCTTATGCATAACATGGAAAGAACATGGCTTGTTAAGAGCAAATGGCATATGCGGTGGAAAGGCATCAACCCATCGAAAATTAGTAGAAAAGAAGTCGCTAGGAATATACATATTTTGATAACGTCTTCTTATCTCAAGTACATCTGCTTCAGGTCTAGAATAATAATGAATTATAAAATTTAGTAATTACGATAAATATGTTTTAAAAATTTTAATATCTACAAATATACACTTACAGATCAAGAGCTATTTTAGGTATTTGTACCATGTAACGTGGTACAACTCTGGTACGTCGCCGTGGTCTTGGAGATTTACTTCTCCTGGTCCTCGATGGGCTACGTTCCTCTTTCTTTTCTCGTTCTCTAATTCTTTCTTCACGACGCCTTTTTCTTTCAATTTCTTCTTCTTCATTTTTCCGTTCTCGCGGAGATCTTTCTCTCACTCTTCCAATTTTATTACGATTACTAGCTGTATTAGCACTTGTTGCACTACTTGTAAATCTATTAACAATTATATAATCAGTGAATAAAATTATATTACCATAAGTACTTAGAAATATATGAAATAATATACAATACACGACATTAATTTATACCATTTACCTATTACTAGCATTTTCAGTAGGTGGAGGCACAGCATTATATGTTCCTGAAGTTCTACTTTGTTGTGGTTGTTGCTGCTGCTGCTGTTGACGGTTGGTTTGATTACTTTGTTGTGTATTAGTGTTATTGTTATTATTTCCCATGGGAAGTACTTGTATCCTAGTAGCACTCCATTTAAATGGCATGGAAGGATTATAAGATGCTTCTACAAGAACACGATCACCCACAACTGGATTGGATCCTTTAACACATGCACTAAAATAAAAATATTTCAAGAATAATATTACAGATATCAAACTGATAACATAATCAAAGAAATAAATAATTCCATTACTTTGTTTGAAAGAATACATCTTCATCTACAAAACCAAAATTATCATATACTTGAGTCACTGTGCCGGTAAAAACTCTTTGCTTAGTAGATGATGATGGTACATTTTGCTGTACTTGTTGCGGTACACCAGCAACAGATGGTTGAAATGCATTTGTATTTAATGCTCTTGGTGGTGGATAAGAAACAGTAGCAACTTGTGGATATAATTGTCCCGCTATACCAGATGGCAAGTTTGATCCAAGGGTTGCCATTGAAGCCATTGTTATATTGGGCTATTTTGTAGAACATACATTATTAAACACATATTAACAAATCTTTCAGTAGCAGTAAATTTTGTCCTCATATCATAATAATACGTATCAATAGTAATTATAACTATATATTTTATTTTGAATTTTATTAACTAACCTGCTGTAATCCCAAACTTTGTTGATAAACTTGTTGAGTTTGTTGTTGATATTGAACCATAGGTTGTCCACCTATGCTACCCATTGCTTGACCTAACATTTGTTGTTGAATATTTTGAATTCCTTGTCCTACGTAGAATTAAAAATAAAATATGTGCCAAATATGTCTAAAAAATAATCTTGAATATTTATGAATAAGTGTACAAATTATATTATAGATTTATTATGCAATATTACACATTAAATGATATACATATTAATAAGTTTTCATTTCAGAAACATAATATGAACAAATAAATGTAATAGCATCTAAAAAATAAAATATGTGTTTATAGATATGTAATAGAAGATGGTATAAATTTTCTACAGAATTTATACAAATGAAATTAAAAATTTATTTTAAAGAAAAAGGAAACCTATTAGAGAGAAAAGATAATTTTCAAAGCTTTCTACTTATCAAAAAGCATACTAAAATCGATTATGTTAGAATGTAAATGACATATTATTTTTTAATGCTTTGACAATACATAAAACAACGCTAGGAAACATTTTGTAAATATATTTATTGGCTCATATAAATTGTAACAGAAACTTGGCAACGTTGTTGACTTGCACACGGAACGACAATAGATTGCATATTAATAACGAACTCGATTTACCTGCATTACGAACCCAAGGTGGGTTCTTTCCACCTCCAAATGGTGAAAGATTACTCATTTTTTAAGAAATATGTAATATTATTAACAACACAACTTTAACAAGGTCTTGAGTACTCTTTAATTGAGCGTCCTTCATTCAGGCGCCATCTTTTCAGCTATTACTACTAAACTCAAATACTGCTCTATGCAGGAAGTAAATTCAATTTTAAATTTCATAGAAAATGTCTTTACTTAAATATTTCGTCGAATAAATGTTAATTCAAATTTGTTTAACAATTATATTTTCTCATTTAATGTTAATAAGTCATGAAAAATATTAAAATAATTGGAAAAAGAACTAAATAAATTTTTCAATTTGATCATCTATGTATCGGAGGCATACAGAAACATATCTTGTCAAACTATGATTTAGTGAAAACCTTTAATTATTTTTCTATAAACTGCTGGTATGTTATATTACGCTATATTTAAATCATATATTTGCAACTGAAATACGTTTAAATATTACATAATAATCAGCTGACTGCGTATAGAATAATTTGATAATGCGTTGCGGGAATTAAGTGTTCTGCATTTTATTCGTTGCGACAGTGGTCGTAATGGTGATTTTAAAACGTCATATCCGGCGCAGATGCACAATGAAATTGAACAGAATCATGATTGGTCCACAATCAAGATTATCAAGATCCAAGGCAATGCATGACATAACATCCTTTGGTTATGTCAAATAACTGTATAACATTAACATCATAATTGTATGTTTTTATACTATGCACTATGAGTCTTTCGTAATCTAAATTCGAAAAAAAATATCATATATAAAATATCGTATAAAATTTTGAATACCTTTAACAACAGTAAAATACAAATCAATGATAATGCTTTCGATAAACCACAATGAAATATTAAGTAGATAATAAAGAAAGTCTACATGTATAAAACTCATTCTTTATTTAACAAGACATAAAAATGCATGAAGTGTATACATAATGAAAAACATATTTGAAATTATTATATAAAATAAATTTCTAACCGGGGCAATTTACCTACATACGTAATTAATTTTTTAAATAATTATATTTTTTTTAAATTTGTTTTTTATTCATATGAAAGTTAATAGAAATCTACATTTTCCGTTAGGTCCAATTTCTATATACTAAAACGAACACGTGATTGGACATTCAACGCGATCGGTGAAAATAACGCATCAGATTGGTTGAAAGCAGGAAGCACGCATGTCGTTCAATAATTGCCGATGATAAAGAGAAAATCGTCGCTATGTTACATAATATTACCATGAAATAATAGCTGGTTGTCTCGAAAACATAATATAAACTATATTACAGGAGGATAACTAACGATTGAATCGTTTGAAATTGATTTTTAAGACGGTAACACTCGTAACATGGCGTTGAGATCGATCTGCCGGCTGTCAATTGATTCGACCTTCAGCCATTCGAGCCATTTGGGAGCCACCGCCCGCCCGAGACGATCGTCTTTTGCATTGGTGTCACGAACATTCGCTGCTCTTGCTGAAACAATGGGTTTGCCACGTGTTTTCTTCGATATGACCGCAGACAACAAGCCTGTGGGACGTATCGTTATGGAGGTAGGTGAAAATCTTTCCTAATTAACGTGAATTTCATCTTTTATACACGTTGTCGTTAGGATCCCGGCGTGATTGGCCATCTTGAATTTTCTTGAAAGCCGGTTATGCGAGTTGGTTTTTGACCTGAATTCTTCTTAAATTCACTAATACCTATGTTATTTGCGTGAAATTATAGTATTGGTCGCGTATAATCAAATATTCCAATATGTGATCCAATAAGGGTCAGTAAAAAATGTAATTCGATATTGTATTCCCGACTCCCGGATTTCTACTGAACTGTAAAATTTTCCATTCGCTGATTGCCGTTGATATGTTCGATTACGTATCTTACGCAGGTGAAAATTTCAAACGTAATTACGAAATATACTTTTATCGAATTTTCTACCAAACTATCGTATTGAAATTAAGATTGAAAAATACATTTCTCTCGTTAATTGATTTTATAGAAAAAAATATATAAATAGATACGATGAAAGTAGATACAAAAATTGTTACAGGGCCGTATTTGTACGTTTTACGGCATAGTATCATTATGAGGCCTCGAAAGAGTGTCATTTCAATTAATTAAATTCACACATGTGGCGTTTTTAAATTTATTGAAACTAAAAGCCTTCGTTATTTATAATAGAATAAAAATAACGCAATATTGATATTGGTATTAAAAAAATCTATAAGTTATAAAATAACTCTAAGGCTTCCTAGTTTTAATTTTAGTAAATTAATGGAGCCCATTATATCTAACATGATCTTGAAGATAGCAGCTCTTTTATAACTATAAATTGGTTGATTTTATATTTTAAAATACAAAATTAAGATTTTAAAATATGATTCCATAAAGAATAAAATTTTAGCTTGCATCTTATGGTAAATAAAGCCTTGAATTGTTATATTTAGCTGCTTCATTTGTTAATTGTTGCAGAACTGACTTTATAATTAAATATGTTCAACAAATTTAGTTATTACTAAGCTGATTGTAATATTGTAATTATAATTGCTTTTTATGCAAATTTTTTAGAAAGCAATTTTTAATTTCTAGTTGAGAAGCGATGTTGTCCCAAAAACTGCAGAAAACTTCCGAGCTCTCTGTACTGGTGAAAAGGGTTTTGGCTACAAAGGAAGTAGCTTCCATAGAGTGATTCCAAATTTCATGTGTCAAGGAGGTGATTTTACCAATCATAATGGTACTGGTGGAGAATCCATCTATGGCTCAAAATTCAATGATGAGAATTTTGTTCTGAAACACACCGAACCTGGCATTCTTTCTATGGCAAATGCTGGTCCGAATACTAATGGCAGTCAGTTCTTCATTACCAGTGCCAAGACTAGTTGGCTCGATGGCAAACATGTTGTGTTTGGCAAAGTTGTTGAAGGAATGGATGTTGTTAGAAAAGTATGTAACACTTTTTCTTCCTTATTTATTCTTAATTAGTATTAAAGATTTTTATGCAAATATCCTTTAATTTAATAGAAATTGCATATTCTAATACGCATTTTCAAAACTATTTTGAATCTTTTCTTGTAATAATATATTTACATTTTATTGTTGATACCAAAAGAAATGTTTGTCTTTCTTGTTTCAGTTAGAGGGAATGGGATCTCAAAGTGGAAAAACTTCCAAAAAAATTGTGGTAGCTGACTGTGGAGAGCTGTAGATTGTTCAACTAGATACTCTAATGCTGAATTTTTATTTAGCTGTCCCATACAACCGTTGCTGTTTTTATTGTATGATTCATTCATTCTAATCATCATCATTTTCTTTAACACTGAATTTAGTTTTACATTAAGAGAATGTACAACTTTTACGAACTGGTACAAGTGATTTGTATTGTATCGTTTTTTATTGCAAATAATTAAGGTTGGAATATACTACAAACTAGATTTCACCAGCACGAATTTCTGCTCTTTCTTTTTTCTTCTTTTTCTTAATATAAAGTTCTTGAGTTTTACTTACATCATTACTTACCCTCTATATGGATACATTTGTCGAATATTGAGATGGAATGCAAAACAGATAAAAATAATTCTAGATCCACATTCTTCCATACAATATTCCTCCTTTTAATGGTACAGCACAGTAAAATGTCTATGTGTGGAACCATAAATTTTCATAAAATAGTTTTTCCTGTGTGTACTATTTGCATTTTAGTATCTAAGGAAAAGAAGTTTGTGAGTATTTGCATTTCAAAAGTCCATAGTTAGTGAGTGTTACATAATTGCTGTATAATGCATTTATCTGTGGAATTATAATGTTTTAACTTTTCTATTGTGCTTTTATATTTAAAGCCGGTAAAGTAATGCTCATGTTATCTAGAGCATTATTCGTTTTTATATGTATACACCCTTCCTTTTCTAAGCACAGAGTAATTGATAATACCAGATTCATTATTGTAAACTGTAATACCAGATAATGCCTTTAGACAATTCCATCTTACTCTGATGTAACACGAATGTTAAAGAATGTAGTTGCAACAATCACAATAATTCGGATTTCTAAGAAATAAAATTGTTTTCAGAAATACTGTTGTATGTCATTATTATATCACAATTATAAGTGTACTGATATCCGTGTTTTGCTTTATATTGACCTTTCCCTATTTACACACAGTTACTTATCAAACAATGAATGATATGCGATATACATATTTTATACTAGATAAGATAAATATTTTACTGAAGGCTAAAGTACATGATAATTTATGAATGCACAGTAGAGGGATATTTAGTTGCATCAAAAAGCATATTTGAAACGTAATTGCACTATTCATTTTATCACAGTTTTTGATAAAAGTATATAAATTGATAAAGTATCTGCCACAAATGACGCACAGAGGAGATTAATCGTGCCGTTGTTATACTGACGAGAAATATCGGTTTTGTCGAAAACTTCCTCGTTTATATTTGCTTTATTACGTACAAGTACAAATAGAATTCTTCTTGATCGACGACTTTGATAACAGAACTCATCTTGACCGATGATCACTGTAGAGTATAGGAATTATTGAAAATTATACGCTTATAAATCCATCAAGAATAATGAAAACAGTCTTTTGAAAAAACCGCCACAAATGATGGTAACAGCGCCATCTAACAACAAACTGCTGAACTACGACGAACACGTACCGACCGGACTCTGTCGGTAATTAATTGATTACACTTAAACATTAAGTGTACGCAAACAAAAAAGAAGCCCGGAAGAACTGTCTCAAAGTATCCTATACAATTCTTCCCATTCCACTAAAAAGCGTAAAATAAAATAATTCTAAGAAAAAAAATACGCCGACTTCGAAATGCACTAAAAAGTATAAAATAATTACTATCTTCTAATGAAGTAATTTCTATTTCATTCATCATACAATTACGTAACAGATATGAATGAAACCTATTTACTTGTTAGGTAGTATATTAAATACATTTCAACCTTTTCGGAGGCGGATGATATTATTACTCTTAATATTTTCAGTATAACCTATTATTACTTATACTACTATTGTTATTATGGTTAGAACTATTATATTACTATCCTTATTACTCTTATTATTATCAATATTATTACGCATATTACGACTACTATCATCGCTGGAACTGTAATTATACTTACTACTCTTATTTTTATCAATATTATTACGCATATTACTACTTTTATCATCATTATCTTTATTATTTTTATTGTTATCAATATTATTACGCATATTACGACTACTATCATCGCTGGACCTGTAATTATCCTTATTATTCCTATCATTATCAATAGTATTACGCATATTACTACTTTTATCGTCATTATCCTTATTATTCCTATTATTGTCCATATTATTACGCATATTACTACTTTTATTATCACTATCCTTATTATTCCTATTAT